TCAGGAGTACAATCCAGTATTATTGAAAAATATTTATTAATGTGATATAAATTTAAAATAAAAAGTTGAATTTGGATACCGAGTATGTAAATTATTTCATTTTGGATCTTATCTCCAAGATGAGTCGGCATATTTTTGAATTCATTCGTTACGAATCGTATATGTTCAGTCATTGAAAGATCGAATTTTCCTAACATTTCAATACATTTAAAAAAATTACAATTCTTAGGGTCGCATAATTTTTGACTTTGACCACGAAAAGCCAAATTTTGTGTACTTAGAAATTGGACCACAAATGTTATTCTTTTGATTACATCGTACCAGCGCTGCTTTTCAACCTCGAAAAGATTTTGTTGAATACTATCAGCAGTGTTTTTATTCTCAAGAGCGTGACACAAATCTGTCCATTTTTTATAATTATTGAAATGAGCAGAGCTTTTCTCATGTCTGCTGCAATACAAAGCTAGATGTTGCCAATCACTAATTCCCTCGCAGAATTTATTTTTATGTTTTGATTCAAATAGCTTGCAACAGAAGCAATAAACAGCATTTTTTGACACTGAATACAGCAGCCACTCTCTGTGATACTTTTCAACGTGTACTAAATGCCTTTCATAATAATATTTCTAAAAATTTTCGCCCCGAAGATTCACGCAGAAAATTATACTGTTTAATTTGTTTAATCGGATTTTCTATTAAATACTGGATCAAAGTAGCAATTAAAAGATCTGGCCAAAATCCAGGGTCATCCCTGGAATAAGTTGGTATTCGTAAGGATAATTGTCTTGGCGGTGACAATGGTGTATCAGGCAGAAGCACGGACGTAAATTCAGCGGCATCATCTTAAATTAAAGACTGACAAACAAAGACATACTATTGCTCGCATGAGTAATTATGTATAATAAATATAAAAAAAAAAAGAATATTTCTCGACAATCAAACTCCGCCGTCTAGTCCCAAACTAAGCAGGGCTTGTATTATGGGTACTAGACAACTGACGTGCAAAAGTGATGTATAGCATTTTAAATTTGAATTTAATATACTACTAATATACTTTTTATGCAAATAAATACATATTACATATACATAAACACAAAGGCTTTTTTTTCAAAGCACCTTGTGGGAATCCATCACCTCCGGCAGCGATTACTTGTATAAAATAAAACAGTCACGTCATCTATCAGCGACATCAGAATCGGTGCAGTCGTTTCGAAGATTAAGAAATAGACAGACAGAAATTGAAAAAGATAATGTTTTTTTTTTTTGACATTACAAACAGACTTAAGTTATATTTATTTGTATAGAAAAATACATACCGCCTTAAAGCCGATGACTTAAAGTTTGCCAGAAGAATTGATTTCCCGAGTGATACCGAACCCCTGCAAGACGATCTAAACAGACTCATAATCATTGGTATAGTAATAAAAAAATGCAAATAAACACCGAAACAAATCACATTTACTGAATCTCATAAGGTTCAGGACTCCGTCTAGATATCCTCGAAAGAGTATTACACCACTGTGTCCATCATTGAGAACGATATCTGGTATTCATTCACTAACACTAATTGACTTACACCATGATAACATTAGTTAGTTTAAAAAGTGCATCATCAACCTGTTCACACAAAAAAAAATAACAAAAAAAAACCGACTTCAAAAAACACTATTCCAAAACAAATCAATATGCAATAAAAAGTAAAAAAATAAATGCGTATTCTTCTACAACTTAATAATCAACTTACTTTTTCTACTCATCAATATGTAGGTACGATCTATGTGTTTACCACGCAAGAAGGTAGGTAGGCACCTACCCACTTCAAATGTAACTCAACATATACCTATGAGTAACAAACAAATATTTTTTAGAGTTCTAAGTAAAATGAAATGAAAAATATTAGACCACTTAGTGTCGATTCTTCTTTCACAGACTGAATGTCTATCCTCCTCTGGACCGTACGATTTCCTTTGGTAGGGACCACGGGAAATCAGGATGGCACCTAGTCAGCTTTCATTTAAAGCTAAAGTTCGTGCTCTTCTCTCCTCCTCTGACCCATCACAATTGCATTTTTTTATTTTATTTTTTAGTATAGTCACGTGATTAAAATTGTTAACTAGTGCCATCTTGAGATGAACGCCAAAAGCGATGTGTAGTGGGCGAAACACAAGCCGGCCGGTCAGGGTACCTAACGCTTTTGTAGCATAGATGGCAGTGATAGCAGAATGCTATTAGATTATGGTAAGTTGTTTTATAATTAATTAGAAAAAAACAATCGTCGGCACCCGCCAGAGGTAAGTTCTTTTAAATTATTTATCTCAAACGCTGGAGAGGGGGCGCTATTATTAAGTTTCTGGCCCGGTTCGAAAAAATCTTAAATCCGGGGCTGTTGTTTACTATACTAATACCTACCTAATACCCAAATATCAACGATGAAAAACGATTTCTTCCTTCATTTTTTATTATATTTTTGTTTTTAGCGTTTCACAACTTAGCCTTAAGTTTTCGGTAGGAAAAAAAACACTTTAAAATACAGCTTTTCAGCTGATGATTTTTACGTAGACGTATTATCTATGTAAAAATCATCAGCTGAACAACTTTTGCACTTAACTTTTTTCACTACAAGGCTTTATTTCAGAGATAATGCGAGATAGCTGAAAAAAAAATGTTTTTCAAAGTTATTTAGCAATAAAAAAGTATCTTCCCGACCTGGACGCATGAATGCATTCTAACTTTTTTTGAGGGGTCATTATGTGCGCAATGACCTTCAGTTTCCGCCAGATTTCATTAAATTCCATTCAGAATCGAAATTAAAACCTCTGGCACCCCGATTACAAAGGCTATTAGAATTTCTATAATGATATCTACACGTATTTTACCAAACCTACTTCTGCTTTAGATTTCGCAAGTGACGAATCTTGCACTGATTGAGCGTGTTTAGATAGGTACTTCGGTATTCTTTCACTAAGGTTTGTCACTCACCAGTGAAAAATGCGTATTATTATTTAATCGAAAAAGTTTTCTAATTTATACTTTCGCCCGCATCATCGCTCACTTGCTTTTCCTATTACTTGAGAATCTAACCTTTTACCTACATAAGGGCAAAATTTTAAAATTCGTTAAGTAGCAAGAAAACATAACATACAGAACTTCTAACGAATGCTTAACTTGTATTTACTCTTGTATTTTATATCTGCTATATGAGTTTAATTGTAACCGCAGTAGCATTAAACGTCAACCATCTCCATCCCAGAAATGAAATGATTTCGTTACTGGAAAGGATTCGATGCCGTGGCAAGTTTTAAATCATTTCAAAACAATTATTTTTTAAATAGATTCATAAAAGTTAACATTAAGTACCTATTTTAGTTCATTGTTACCTTGAATTTATATAAAGTTTTAGTGCTAAAAATAAAACAGAATTTAATTCAAACATATTTATTAAAAAAATACAAAAGTACAAAACATTTTTATACACATAACAAAAGAAATGATTTGCATATTACATTTCGCCTGGGATAATAAAAAAAAAACACCTAACGGTTCACTGAAATTGGAATGATTTAAATATTTGAATACAGAAAGCGGCATTCGACAATGATCCTAAACGCCTTTCAAGAGTCTAGCATATACAGGTAAATTAGCTTGGAGAAATTTTTGCGTTTGTAGTAGTGTATGGTGTGGACAGCGTAAACTGGTTTATTCTGGTTTTGTGCGTGTTTCCACTTTCCACTATCAAGTGACGATTTTTTGCTTTAGATTGAAATATTTCGGAAACGGTGCGTCCTAGGCCAAAAATAACAAAAATTTTGACCCCCCCGTAAACCCCCCGGAGTTTTAAAAACCTAGATGAAAGGAAAAAAAAAAATTAAATATCGGTCTCTCCTCTTTGAAGTTTCACTTCTATCGTGTGTGAATCGCACACACACCTTTTTCTTTATAAAGTCAAAACCTTTTTCTTTAAAATAAAAACTTGTTTTATTGAAAACAAAAATCAGAGTGTTGCTAGGGATAAGTATAAAATTAAATAGTAATGTTAGGATATCGAAGCATTTTTGTATAGGCCAGAACGATATAGTGGAAACGCGCTCTAAGATCTGAGTAATATACACACCACTACATATGCAAAAATTTCTCGAGACTAATTTCACTATACTTGTAAGTTACAGTTATAGAGTTGTAAAGTCCTACATAAGCTCGAATCATTTTATTTACTTAACAACTCCATGGATCTAAAATCTCCAATCTCCATGCCAACATACGACTATTATCGGTCTATGTTCGGTAAACGAACTTAAAAGACTTGCCCATTTCTTTGATTGTCCCTAATCTATTTCAATTTCCCTTACTTATTATTTATGCACAATAAATACTATCAAAAGTTATAAAATTTAACTACAATAAATTCTTCTAATTTGTTTGAAAACGTTTTATAAAATTAAATACAATAAAAATATAAAAATTGTAGCGTCTCAATATAATTAACAAACAATAAATTCAATAACATTTAACTAAATAAATGTAAGTTTATTTGAATGCTTACCTCGACATGTAAATTATTTTGTTATAATGCATTAATTTGTACAAAAATATTTGAACACAACTTACTTTGATATCTGGGCCATGGATTTCATATCACAATTTACGTTTATGAAACGTATTCAGTCTTTAATAAAATGCTTTTAGATTATTGACAAATTGTAATTTTACATCACTATTTATTCCCGCGACCTACGCCTAAGTGTTTCCATTACTTAAACTTTACCTAATTTATGAATTTCAATATTGATCGTTATACTATTAAAATAACATATTTTTCCAAATAATGGTACAACTTAACAAAATTACTATATATGTATATATTACTAATATTACCCTATTTTATCCTTAAAACAATTTTGGTTTAATTTGTGAATGGAGCATATGCTCTTTTTACCAATAAACTACAATAGAAAAATGTTTAATTATACTTAATATTTTTGTTGTTTATTAATATGGCGTTGTTACTCGGTGCTTATTGGTTTGAAATGTAACATTGCGTAATCATGGTAATACATCATTATAGCAAGCGGTTGGCCGAGGATTAAAGAGCTCCACACCATGATGTTACCATATCGAGGTCCAAGCCTTTTTTCTGCAATGCGAGATATAACCGCTAATGGCGGCTGAGCCATCATACCCAAGAACGCCCATATCCTGAACATTTGCAGCGGAACACTCACCTGTAGACATACCAACATATAAACTACCATTGCATTTAGTTTTATGTTTTCCTTAAATAATATGCATACCCTCTAGAATAGTTCAAAAGTCTGTGATCGTCAGACATTTGTCATTTTATAAAAGCTGAAAGTGTTTCTGCTCAAGGTTGTGAATGTAAAATGCATAAAACTACTACTACTACTACTACCTACTTGTACCTTAAACACTAGATTTTAAAGTATACAATACAATACAAAACTGAACTATTTCAAAATACTTTCTACTTGTAATATTTTCTTAAAGTACTACCATGTTCTGTATTTACATCTAGTGCAGTTAACTTATTTTTTTATAACAAATGTGGGGAATTTTTTTTGAAGAGACGGAGACCCTTTTTTTTTTTTTTTTAACGTGTGGAAATACCCTCGGACCGTCACCCCTCCGGGGTTTGCGGCGGGGTGGTGTGTCGGACTCGGACCGACTAAAACCACACGGTGTGCCACTCTGCGCCTGTAACAGGAGGGATCCGGGAACAGCTGTTGTTAAGACATCCGGACCCCTCCTAGCGCCAGCCCGCTCCTGGTGCGGGCTCCGTCTCAATATATTTTCCTCTCTTTAGGCGACGTCCGGCACACGCGGACGCCGCCCCCTCGCGGCTGGCCAAACTAATGCGGGTGGAGGGGAAACCCACCCCGTCCACCCGCGGCCACACTCAGGGCGGCATGAGGCTATGATAGGCGGGCCTCCGCCGCCCGGTTCGCCGGCGGCGGATCGGGTCCGAGTGGAGGTCGTCCTCCCGGGCCCTCTCCTTCCGCGAGGTTACTACCTCGCAGAAGGTTGCGACCGCGGTAAAACAACTGTCGCTACCGGCCATGGAGCGTACTACGGCCGGTAGCGAGAGATCCACTCCGACGACTGCAGTGAGGGCCCGACGCTGCGCCGCCCATGCGGGGCAGACCGCCAGCGTGTGCTGGGCCGAGTCCTCACTGCAGTCGCAGTGGTGGCAGGCGGGACTCAGTTCCCTCCTAGCGACCGAGTGCAGGTACTTTCCGAAGCAACCGTGCCCGGAAAGCACCTGCGTCAGCCGGAAGGAAAGAGTCCCGTGCTGCCGCCCTGCCCACTCGGCGATGACCGGCTGGAGAGCCTCCACGGCGGCGAAACCAGCGCGTGGAGTCTCCAGCCGGAACGACCAACGAGCCATCGTGGCTCGGCGAGCGGCTTCGCGCCACTCGCGCACATCCTCGGGCGGAGGGCGAAATCCGCTCTCCGCCCGGGAGTCAGCCACTCGCCGATAAACTTCGGCGAGCACTTCCGCCTCCAAATCAAACGGGGGAGTTCCGGCCAACGCGCATGCCACCTCCGTCGAAACGGTGCGGTAACCGCGTATGGCTCTGACCGCCATTACCCTCTGAGGGCGCCAGAGGCGTACCCTATTCTGGGCGGTCAGAGCCGCCGCCCACACCGGTGCACCGTACAGTGCCATTGACCGGACGACCCCCGTGTACAGCCGTCTTGTCGCGACGCTGGGTCCACCCATATTGGGCAAAAGTCGCCCTAGGGCAGACGCAGCGCCGACCAGCTTTGGAGCAAGCTGTCGGAAGTGCTCGTCGAAGAGCCACCTCCCGTCGAGGATCAGGCCCAGATATTTCATCTGGGCCCGAACCGGTACGAGGACCGAGTTGACCACGATTGAGGCGCCAGGGGGTGGACCACGACGGGGCCCATGAAATAACAGGGCCTCCGTCTTATCTAGGGCCACCCGTAAGCCCAGCGCCTCAATGCGCCCGACCACCAGGGAGACTCCCCCTGTGGCCAGGCGCGCCGCCTCTTGGAAGTTTGCCCCCCGGGCTGAAGAGACGGAGACCCTAGGATAACCTAAAAAGCAAACATCTGTAAACCCCGGCAAAACTAGAAACATGTAGGTCGGCACAGTGGGTACTTTTAACGTGAATGCACGTTACTGTCTGAACAGCCGTCAGACAGTAGGGTAGTGAGAGATATGCCGGTTGCAGGTTCTAGTTTCTTTAGGCAATTATACCGTACCCGTAATGAATTTGGCTAACTATGGTTTTGGCAAAACAAACAATTATTTCAATATAGGTATCATAGGTGTCACTCAATATTATAATGATATCTATTTAAGTAGCCCTACACGTTTATGATCATATCACACCTAGTGCAGTGCACGTGATCTTCTTTTTATCTAACATGTGCCAAAAGTGATTGTAAAACTTGACATTTCTCCAATATACAGGGTGGCGCAATAGAACGTGCATATTGCATCATCTTTTTTCGCGGGGTAGAAAGTGCGCGGGCGGGGGGAGCCTGCATCGTTGGGTAGGCGGGCTCATGGAGTTTTAGTCACTATGAGTCACTTCGACGGGAAGCGTCGCGCATTTTGCGTGCGCGCATTTTACGAGAACTCTCGTTCATACATCGTTACTAGGCGTTTATATTGTTCTGAATATGGACTACGGCAAATTAGTAAAGCTCCGAGTGCTAATTTAATTAAAATATGGGTACAGCGTTTTGAAGAGACTGGTTCAACGTTTAAACCACAAGCAAAAGGTTGTCCAAGAACATCTAGGACCGACGACAATATTGAGAGAGTTATGCAGTCTGTACGAGGAGATCCACAAATGTCTACTCGTAAGAGATCGTCTGTCTTACACTTATCGCGACGAAGTTTGCAACGAATTTTAAACTTGGATCTTAAACTGCATCCTTACAAGCTGCAGTTAACACAAGAATTGAAAGAGTCTGACTTCGGAGCAAGGCTCGCATTTGCTAATGAAATGCTTAATCGATTTTCCAATTTTGACAATATCCTTTTCTCAGATGAGGCCCACTTCCATATCAATGGGTTCGTAAACCGTCAAAATTGTCGTTACTGGAACAGTGAGAATCCCAAACTCAAGCACCAGAAACCACTGCATAGTCCTAAAGTGACAGTATGGGCAGCAATCTCTGGTAGAGGAATAATTGGACCGTTTTTCTTTGAAAATGCGCGGGGGCAAAACGTCACTGTTAATACCGAACGCTATGTTGCGATGTTGGAAGGTTTTTTGGCTCCAGAGCTTGAAAATTCAAGAATAGTGAATTCTAGGACTTGGTTCCAACAAGACGGAGCTACCTGTCACACATCAAATGACTCCATGGCGGTTGTGAAACAGATGTTCCCTGGCAGACTGATTTCGAAAAGAGGTGATATCCCATGGCCCCCACGTAGTCCAGACGTGACGCCTCCTGACTTTTTTTTGTGGGGATACCTCAAGAACAAAGTCTAAAGTAATAATCCGAAAAACAACGATCAGCTCAAGGAGAATATCCGTGGTGAAATGGCAGCAATTACACCAGCATTACTGAAGAAAGTTTTCAATAACTTCCGTTTGCGATTAGAGGAGTGTCGTCGTAGAGAGGGTCATCATTTAGACGATGTTATTTTTAAAAAATAAACTTCAGTTATTTCTTAATAATACCTCAGTTTTATTTTAACTATACCTTTTGTATTTATTTTCTAATCAATATTTTAAATATGCACGTTCTATTGCGCCACCCTGTATATAATTATATAATAAACGGATTCTTATCCGCATTTATACCTACAAGTCATCTTACACGGCGAATCTATACATGAATCGTCCAACATTCGACTCCGATCAGGAATCAATGAAAACTTATATGCCACTACGATAACGCAAGGCTGAGCCGAAATGGCAAGCCTATTGAAACTCGCCAGTTAGAGAACGTTGCAAATCTTGGGGATATGAACGCGCTCCTGCCGAATATGATATGATTATTATCATTGAAGATGGACTTACGACGTACATGTTATATGTTGGCCAACCAAATATTTAACTCAACACTAAACTAAAATGCTTATGCAACTGTAAAATAGCCACCAAAATATTCTATAGCATACTTATTTAGAATAGGTTAACCGGTTTCTATATATCTGTATGCGCAGTGTCTAATGGATTAAAACGTTGGCCTTAAAAGCATTAAATCATAAAAATAGAATGTTAACGATCAGAGTCCAAGATCTTGGAATTTCTACGTCATTATTTGCATGATCATATTACCTGTTTACTAAAGCTCTGATGCCGCACAAGGTTTTGCCGTCTACATTAATTGACAGCGCAGTCCTGCGAGACAGCTATGATTTCCCACAGGGAGGAAGGTTTTTTAAGGATATTTTCACTTACCAAGTATTCGTGGAAAAACGCTGATATTAGAAACACAACAATGCCAGCAACTACTTTAGTATATCCTCTTTCTGTGATAGGTTTGTATACATGTCTCACTGCCCACATATGGACTGGCATGTTCCAGCTGCTCCAAAACACATTAATGTTGTTAGCGTTCCACCAATCACTGTAGAAGTTACGATCAGCGAATTGCAAGAGCTCGCCCATAAGATTTAAGAAGGAATGGAAAGTAAGGTAGAAAAAACAAAGCCACAGTAGATGGTTTGGTACCTGAAAATTAAAATATAACAATCTTAAAGAAAGCCAATGCTAATAATAATAATAACTTGACATATCTTACATGGCCGTCTGATTTTCAAATAAGCTGTAAGCTTTTGCTATGTTAACCAGAACGCACATACTTATAAATTTATAAATAGATATATATTACAGTTAAATTACCCACACACGGAACAAATAATCGTGCTCATTACCCAATATTTGTCGTGTGTGGGTAGTAATTTTACATCTAAGATCTTTAAAACGCATTCAAGCTTTGGCACAAGCATTATCCACCATGCATTATCAAGCATTATATAATACTTGTGGGCTGTGGCAATCGAAATCCTAGACTTTGTTACAAACATTCACATTGATACCGAATCGAAGTCAACGGAAGTCAATGGTAATGACCTAATTATACAACCATTACAAAATTCGTTAATAGGTACTTAAAAAGTGTTTTTTATGATTATTGACGTCAATGTTGTATTACGTTAGTAATTAAGGTGGTGAGAAATCTGAAATCTTATTTGTGTCTTTGTTAAGAATATTAACAATGGATAATATTAATATTATTGTTTCAAAAATATCAGATCAATCTCATGCAAATAGGAGGAGTTTTTTCAAGGAGTCAAGGAGTTTTTCACGAACCTTTATATTTTGTTGTTTATAACTAAAGTTAAAGCAATAAATATTAGATAACACTAAAATATATGTTTTATAAACTCGTTGAAAGCATATAGTTTTCAATAACAATCTTTCTAAAACAATCATAAAACTAATAATGTTGATTGCTGGTTAATAATGTAGGCTTTTTTATTTATTAAATTTATCATAATTAGTATTACTAGACCACACTTTTCGTCATGAGAGTTCTAGAGCTAGAACAAGTTACAACTCTGTGTAATTTTGATTCTCAATATAAACAGCCCCTTACAACATATTGTGACGTAAAGCAACGAAATACGCGTGAACATTCGGTAACAATGCATTCTCGGGCAGTTACAAACACGTGTCTACTTTAGATAATTATACATTTTGGCATGCTACACCACACGGGCGATGACCGATTGGATGAAAATCATATGGATAATACAGCAATACACGTGCCCAAACCCGTGCGTCTCGAACCGTGTGTTCAAATGTTCTTTTTGCGATAAAGAAAGTTAATTACGAATGTAACGAAACAAAAGCTTTTACTGATTAGAACTGGAATATATACTTATTTCAAACGATTACGTTCTGTGTCATAAAAATGGAAAAAATGAACTAAAGTATACAATCAAGGTAACCGAAACATATTATGTTGTATTTTTCATGTCTAACTTGTTAAGTAAGCATTGAAAAAGAAAACACACGTAACATGACTTTGTTGACAGAAAAGCTGTTCCTAAAACACCTAGTAGTCTGTTCACTGCAAAACTTACAACACAATACATAGATTTGTTAGGTAGTGACTTACAGCTAATTTCAGTAATCTCTCTGTTATCCTGATAGGATCCATTTTGGAAAATGTCTCAACTGAGTTCTTGACGGACGGTATCATCCATTGTTGAAACAATGCCAGAACAAGATTCACTCCAAATATCAACTCTAACAATCTTTTGATAACAAACCTCTTCCTGATTCTGAAACAGCAATGATGGCATTAGTTCAAACTTTGGCCCTTGGTCAATTTAGACTTTGAACGAATCGCCGCCGTATCATCATCGTGAATGATGCAGCGAACCTGTAGAAATATTAACATATTATTCAATTCAATTATTTAATATGCTTAAATGTGGAATTAAAGGTGGTAATTACATTACAAAACATCCAACACATATGCCATTTAACTCATGACATGCAAATCACTAATAATTTACATTACAACAATACAGTATAATACAAATACAATGAAATACAAAACTACTAACTAATTACAAATTACGTAACTTAAATTACCAATTTATACATTTATTACGATAGATCAATCATCAGACCAATAAATAACTCTATAATATTATTTTAATGTATAATTTAAATATTCGTTAGCGGAGTAGAAACATCTGCCAACAAGCCATCTGAACAGTTGTCTCTTAAACTTATTAATAGGTAAATATCTGGCATCTTCGGGTAAGTGATTGTGCACTGACATTGCATAACTAACCGATATATGTAATATCGGTTTTTATTGACGGCAGCACCAGATTATTTGGATATCGTGTATTGAATTTATATATATATCTTTCTTCAAAATAAATATGTAAATGTTATTTTTAACAAGAATACATGTTTCATATATGTAAAGACAAGGTATAGTCAACAATGAAAGTTTATGCAACAGAGGCTTACAGGTTATCCAGGGTATTACGTTGCAGATTGCTCTAATACATTGTTTTTGAGCAATGAATGTTTTTTTTTTTATAATTGCCCCAAAGCACTATGCCATATCTGAGTTAAGATACCACAATGATAGGCCTCAAGTGCTGTTTGTTTGTTGGCAAAGTTTGGTTAATAATTATTGCTTTTTGTTCTTTTTGAAACCCCTGTAGTTATTTATTTATAACTCCGTGTGGTGGCGAATTAAGAATAGTGTGAGGGCACCCCCTATTCATTCATAGGAGTGTCCCACCACCTACATGGATGAATAGGGGGTGTCGTAAGAACCGACTAGGGGAGGAAACTATACGGGACAACAGCACTGCGAAGAGAAGGAAAACTTGACACCAACCCGTCTGGCCGGCGTGGTATAGTAGGTCAAAACCTCCTTTTTAAGAATAGGCCTAAGTTCACCAGTGGACTATTAAGGGCTGTTGATGTACGATGTGACGTGGAGTTATTTAAGCATTTAGTTTAGAGGCATAATGTTTTTCTTGTAACGTTATCGTAAAAACGTTTACAGTCGTGTAAACTTATTTTTACTAGCATAAAAATGTCAGCAGACGGATGCAAGAGAACGTGAGCTGTTATCAACACTGATATGAAATGACAAGGATATAAATAAAAATAATACTTAAGAGTTTAAGAAGCATTCGTCACGTTCCAGCACCATCGATTACATATCTGAAGGTGATAATGACATTAAAGTAAACAGAAAACGTGTCGCGACGAAATTCCGTTTTTGATTTAATACCCTGATACCTTATTATAAAACACTGATAAGTTTTGCTGTTGTTTATAGACCATTATAATTCATTCTTCTAAATTCGGGTGGTAATATTAATGTTGTACTAAGAGTTTTTTAGATACATGAGAAAGTTATTTATTCCACGCTGGCTTTTGCCCGTGGCTCCACCCGCGTGTACGTCGGTTATTGCGGTAAAAAATAGGCAATGTCCTTCCCCAGAACCAATAGTCCATAGCGATATGTCCATAGCAAATTTCATTAAAATCAATCGTTTAGCGGTTCAGTCGTGAAAAGCTAACAAACAGACAGAAATACTTTCGCATTTAATTTTTTTAATTTTTCTAAAAGGCCACTCCCGCCCTCGAAATATATCCTGTGTCGCGGGGAACTTTACAAACATTCATGTAACGGACACAAAAAGATCCAAACTCAGAACAAAAGTTTGTTTATCACACAAAGTGTTATGCCATGTGGGAGATCGAACCCACAACACACAGCGCAGTAGAAAGCGACAAAGTGACCGCTTAAACCATTACGCCATCCGTATTGTCTCGGGGGGCAACATTAGTAGGGATTTAAAGTGAAGACAATATATTTGGCAATAATATGAAAATAGTTAACTTTCAAAACAAGCAACGTGTATATTACTTTATGCTTAAATGCTTAACACTCGTAACGCTCCAATGCCACGTTTGCAATCTGATTCCACTTCTATGAAGATATATACTCCGCAACAAGACTATGCCACCATACAAATAGTAATTTAATGTAATCTTTCTTCGAAGCCGTTAAGGTCTGCTGTGTGTCCTACTTTTAAAACAAGAAGAATGATAAATCAAAAGACCGACCGATTATTTTATATGTTCATGCATCAATTTGTGAAGTAAAAATGAGATTAAGCAAAAAGGTTAAAACAACTAACCTTCCAGTGCGAGGGAAATTCAACTCATAACACAGGGTGGGGGCCAACATAAAGTAGAACAGATCTTTGAGGTTCAAGTTATCGGGATACTTAGTTAGTTTGGCCGCAGCTGCGGTGCCGTTCAATAGATCTTCTTTACTTTCTGTAGGTAAAACAGGTTAGTTCACAATCATTAAGATGTTTAGTCAAATTAAATCATTATTTATGTGTGTATTAATTGTGAGTATTGTGTATTAGTTTACTCAAGCTGTCTACGAACAATCCGCATAATTAATGATAGTAAAAAAACATAAAAATTAAGAAGAATGCGATAGATATAATATACAGTTTACAAGCAAAACATTTAGAATTAGTTTACTTACTTACTTTAAATATTTTAGGATAGGAATAACTACTAACTAACCTAACCTAACGCAGAATCTAGTTTAATGGAATTTTAAGAGACGATTTGGGAGACTAATTACATTATACGCCTCAACTCTAGCAGAAAGATCCGTCATAAGTATGTTTGTGCTCTTTTCCTCATACGAAAAAAGTCAAAACAAATAGAAGGCCAATTCGTTGATAAGATGTTACCTGTGCTTTTTAACTCTGCCATCATCTCTGCTTCCGTAGTGCTCTGGTGACCTTACTCACCACCAAAATATATAACGCATTACAGAGAAAATTTACTGTGCACAATTAGCTTTTACCGACTGGCATCAGTATGTATTTCCGACACAGACAGAGTACTCTATAGATTAGTAGAGAACCAGGCGTGGGACAATTAAAAGCCCACGCTTACTATTCGTATGGTTTATGCGAAGTATTTACTTATTACAGTACTCCCTGAACAGCCCAACTTCTCAGTAGCTGCCGATATGGTTTATGCCAAGTATTTATTTATTACAGTACTCTGGTCACTGGACAGCCCAACTACGTAGTAGCTGCCGATATGGTTTATGCCAAGTATTTATTTATTACAGTATTCCGGTTACTGAACAGCCCAACTACGCAGTAGCTGCCGATATGGTTTCTGCGAAGTATTTACTTATTACAGTACTCCCTGAACAGCCCAACTACTCAGTAGCTGCCGATATGGTTTCTGCGAAGTATTTACTTATTACAGACTCCCTTTATGCAATGGTCTGGAATGGACAAATCCAGGTTTATGCAATGAATACTTGGCATAAACCATATCGGCAGCTACTACGTAGTTGGGCTGTCCAGTGACCAGAGTACTGTAATAAATAAATACTTGGCATAAACCATTTCGGCAGCTACTGAGAAGTTGGGCTGTTCAGTGACCGGAGTACTGTAATAAATAAATACTTAGCATAAACCATATCGGCAGCTACTACGTAGTTGGGCTGTCCAGTGACCGGAGTACTGTAATAAATAAATACTTAGCATAAACCATATCGGCAGCTACTACGTAGTTGGGCTGTCCAGTGACCGGAGTACTGTAATAAATAAATACTTCGCAAAAACCATATCGGCAGCTACTACGTAGTTGGGCTGTCCAGTGACCGGAGTACTGTAATAAATAAATACTTCGCAAAAACCATATCGGCAGCTACTACGTAGTTGGGCTGTCCAGTGACCGGAGTACTGTAATAAATAAATACTTAGCATAAACCATATCGGCAGCTACTACGTAGTAGCTGCCGATATGGTTTTTGCGAAGTATATATTTATTACAAGAGCCGCTCAAAAAAAAACCAGAATACACGAAATCGTTCTAGCAACAGAAGCTTGTTAAAGGTCCGAATCGGCGGTGCGAGTTGTGCAGCGTATCCTGGTTTTGATTTACTTACATATTAAACCTAAACTCTTGGAAAAAGGTTCAAGTCAAACTTAATGACTACATCGCGTAACAAGTGACTCACCATGAATCCTGTGGGAATTGCCACACGTAAAAAGAGAAAATCATGAATATATAACACTCTAAACCGCAACCAAAGCAAAGAAGAGATGTTGTATACCCAGTAATATATGTATGATAGATTTTTATGAGATTTGTATAACCGCAATAACTTAAAGTTCAAGCGTAGTTAACAAAACGCATATCTACGTTTTCTAAACTTCCCATGCATAAAATGCACAAAATATTTAACTTAAAAAACGATATGTAGGTATACACCAATATTTGTGAATGAGCTCATTATTATTATATTTAAAAAATATATTTTTTTATTACTAATGTAGACTGTACCTACAAATTAGGCGACGTAATAAAGAAATGAATATTTTAAATCAATTCATTTAAAGAAAGGGGTCCATAATTTTTATTAAATCGATAAGATCAATCGTGAAAATTATGTAAACAAAAGGAATTTAACTAATTTGACAGGGCAACATTTTATTGACGGATCAAGAAAATCGTAAACTAATTATTGTAGTTTTAATGAAATTAAATAAGGTACATAAGTTAACTTTTGACAGCAATAATAACTCATTTGTGACAACCAGCTCTCATTGATTTTAACTTCAGTACAGCCTATATTATGTAAACTAAGAATTGTAATAGCTTTTGAAAGCAAAACTTTACGAATCTGGTTATTAAAACTGTCATTGTTGATGATATTACCAGCCTAATATATACAAAAATATTCCCAACAATGAGATACGCAAGACAGTACAAAAGTCCTACACATGCCTGCCATTTTCCAAACATAAAACACATTATTACGTGTAATATAAGTGAACCCGACAAAAACCTCATTTTGAACAAACAAGCTGAACAAAAATATAATTTTAATTGTTCGTTTTAAATTAGTTTCTATACGATATAATCATTATGTATAAAAGATAATAATCTAATATTTTGCATATTATTATACACTAATGTTACTACATACACCTAAATTCTCAAAATAGTACCTAATTTACCTACAACATATTCAAGTTCAACAGTAGGTACATTCTAACTCGTAAATAACGATTTTACTCGGTAACACAATAAGGGTAATGAATCATTGCAGTTGCTTAACATACATACATAAAATACAAGTGCTGAAAGCGAACAGAAATAGCATAACGTATATACACACAACGTGATACGAGTTATTGGCACTTACGCTCATGTTCGGCATTAACTAGTTCATCTGTAAATTTAATATGACAATTAAGAGTCTATTGCATTAATTCATTTCATTTCAATAGGGTAATTTTTTATTCATTATTAAATACTTACTCCAATTGGGTGCAGATAAACTCTGTCTTCTGAGCGTATTTTTCAAATGTCGTCTCTTGGAACCATTCCTACACCAATGATTCGTCTGAACGTAACTCCAGAGTTTTAAAAATATTACTAAGTAAAGGAAGCAAACTGTTGTGATTCCAACTACAATGGAAAAAAACTTGTATTATAATTATAAATACAAAGAGAGAAGTATAAAAAGGAATAATACATTATGATTAAATGATGAAAAACTGACATAATTTTATTCTGGAAGATAATTTCATAACTCAGTCGATTAAGTCGAATGATACTTGCTCGTAACACCGAACAAGGCTTTGCTTTACCTAGTGACGTTTACAGCTAGTAGTTATACAGCTGTGCTAAAATGTTTATTGTCCTTAAAATATGTATATGACTGTATAGTTTTTTTTTTTTTTGTAATCTTTATTTTTTTTAATAAGGGGTTTTTATCCAAAAGGATACGCCAACCCCATCGTACCTTATCATATACAACACAACATATCTTAATATTTACTAAATGAAATAAAATAAAAGAAAGGGAATTGACTGTATAGTTACCGAAACTAAATTCGTCTTTCTTGATTTGTAAAACTGCAGCAGGTAATATGAGCACAAATAATTTATTCAAAATCTGCAACGTTAGGCCGAACTTTTCTGGTACTAAATCCTGAAAATATGTCACTGTCAAAAAAGTGCCAAAGAGTTAAGCTATTTTATGGAAATATAAAAATAGCGGTAATGACCTCTCTCATTATAAGTTTACAAGAATGACAGGTACATACAAAATTTATATTATAGTTTCCCCATACCTTGTGCATATATTGTATATATACAATGTAGGAGGAAAAATTGTATGGTATACATTTACGCAAATCATTGTACTATACGACATTTGCACACATCTATCCTGTACTTGACACACAGCATATCCTTCAGAAGTTAGTGCTTCTATAATTCTGATAGAGGGTTAGACAAGACAAGACATTTTGACACTGTAATACGATCATAGACAGCTTGAGAGTGGTATTATAACGGAACGGACATAGGAATTACGAAGAATAATTCAAATGTTGACAAATTCTGTAACTTGTCAATATAGGTTGTTTACCCAGAACACTAAAAGGACAATCCTTTTTTAACAGTTCCATGGTTGTTTATATGAAACGGACAGGTTTGAACGACAAGATGCATGGCTTTTTTCACGACGCTAAAGTGGTGCCATAGCAATAAAGAAATATATGTGTGTATGTGAACACACACACATATTGCCATGCGCAATCGCTTCTTTTAAATTTCTACTATTCATAGGAAAGGGAATGCAAGACACACACCCACATTCGTAATGAAAGGTAGAACCTCTCACTTATTTCGATCATACCATTTGTTCACCCAAGTATTAAGTACTGACTATGAATATTGGTGTAATGTTCATTCTGTAAATTCCCTAAATGTACCTACTGTAAGCTGTGAAGGGTTAGATATATTTTAGTAGTGGCAAAAGGCGAAGAACCTAATATATATAGGTATTAAAATATTAACAAACAAACAAAAATTTTGTAATCATTAAAGTTTAACTTACCACTGCAACAGCTTTTTCAATCAGCAGACTGACAACAACAGGCACAATACTAACTGAAACAAAAAACCGTAGACAATAAACATGTTGAACTAGAACGAAATTTTAAAAACTACATCTTTTCTTAGGAAAATACTAGACGGTATCTGTAGCATTTATGGAAAAAAGGAAGGATGTTTGGGTTCAACAGATCTAATACCATTCTGTCCTTTATTTTATACTTTATAAATTATAAGAAATATTATAACTTACATAGATAGAAAAAGAATACTTACACACTATTAATTTAACAGAATGATATTGGTCCCTCTCGCCTTCGTTATAGCCAGTCAACACTATAATCCATTCGAGTGGATTCACACGAAATCCATATCTGTAATTTATAATAATGGATAATGTTGCGTTATGTACTATGCGATGTATGTGCACGGGGACATAGCTTCATCGTAAAGCAGACGACAGCGAAGCAAAAGTGCCCTACACGAACAAGAGGTTGTCAACCGTCAAGATCGTAGTCATTGTCATCGCCTTCCTACCTTGTTCTTAATTTTATCTCCGATAGGCACTATGTATAATATTAAAACAAAACAACAATAATAAAAGAAGCAAATAAAGAAGTCAAATCTATAAAATATTGTGTATATTTACAAACTCGACCACATGATCTTATGTATATAGTTGCTGAAGACATGCCGCTGCTGGCTGGCTGCCGCCTTGTATTTTGTGGCCTTGTTACTCCGAGCCACAATCGAATATTCTACTAAGCCTATATCATCAATCATTACTTAAGTGAATTCAAGAAAAGATACGATAGTTTACACGGCTCCTTATATCGTTCCGCGACTGGTTTCTTGATTGTGGAGAAGTGAATCAAATGCAAGTCATATTGGTCAAGAATGTCTTGTTCGTAACTTAATAGTAATAGTTTAAAAAACTAAAAAAACACGCTTTTTATAGAAAACAAAACTAAAAAATAGAATATTTTTACACGCTTTATATTAGCTTCACTTGTATGTTTGTTTGTAATTAATTTTAAAAACTTAATTTTTTATTCTAAATTAGTGTATTGTCATCGGTCCTCGATATATCTACAAAGTTTAAACGAATTCTGACCGTTTAAAGTCAGTCAAAATTACGCCCAAAGGAGTCGGTTACAAACAAACACACAGGTGAAGCTAATAAAAAGCGTGTAAAAACGTATCTTAAGTGATTTGAATGTAATAAATATGATAAATAAATTAAGTATCTGGGAGTCTCTCCAGTTGAGTCAAGATCTTGAGTCGATATTAATGAAACAAAATTATGCAAAAATTTGGAGTGGTTACTGTTTAGCGAAACTTTTTAATGTTATGAAAACATGACACGTATTCGTCAGAATTCGTATGTGAATATCCTTAAATTATTTTATACTTTTTGTATGTTTCCCAGATATCAATTATCTCCAATCATAGGATATTTATTTATTTATTTATTTATTTATTTATTTATATTAAGCACATCAACAGCATAATTACAACATCGTGGGGCGATAACATTTTCATGGTTTGAGTTTCCGGTAATTACACAGATAATAGATATGCATGACACTTAGTATATATCCAATGGAGAGACCTTTCATACAAATGCTAATTCAATACATAAAAATACATACACAGACATAAAACCCAAGGTAGAACGTGTTTCCTTTTTAACAATAAAAGACAAAAAACAAAAAAAAAAAAAAAAAACAAGAACAAAATAGATCAGATCAGGCGCCCCAAAAGTTGGGTTCGGCAACATGGCCTCGTATGGAGCGTTTGTATGATGTGAATGTCGTGGAGAAGATATCAATATTTTCCACCGCCATAGACCTTTCGTTATACAGCCTTGCCATGCGTATAAGGGGGCTGTTGAAGGTGGTATTTAAAGTTGATACAGGTATTTCAAATGTACGGTGGTGACGCATTACCCGTGTATTAATCCTAAAGTTGAAGTTGTGTATCAATTGTGCATCTATCGAACCCTTTAAAATTTTGTATAATGTAAATAAGTCAGAATGAACGCGTCTTTCTTCTAAACTTAACATGCAAAAATGATTTAACCTGTCACTGTATTGTGGAATAGTTTTACGGATTCCGTTTTTTATGCACAAATACCTAATGAAGCGAGACTGAATTGACTCCACATTATCTATGTGTGTAGCATAATAAGGGGACCATATTGTGGAACAATATTCTAAATGACTCCTTACTAAGGCGTTGTAAAGTAATATAATACTGCTGTTGTCTCGAAAAGGCTTGGACATGCGGATTATGAAACCGAGCATCTTTTTAGCTTTATTTACTAGAGTGTCTATGTGATCGCGAAACGTTAGTGACGAGTCAAAAAGCACTCCCAAGTCCCGAATGGTAGTAACTCTGCTCAAGTAAACCTTTTCTATGTAATATTCAAATCTGATATATTTCTTTTTATTAGTAAAAGTTATGAACTGGCATTTCTTCACATTGAGAGACATATTATTTTCCAGACACCATTGCTGTAAAAAATTTAAATCATTTTGAAGCTTGTAGCAGTCGCTTTTTTCATTTATGCGATTAAAGATTTTTAAATCGTCTGCGTAAGCTAAACAATTACATTCTAACTTTTCTAAGAGGTCATTTATAAATACCAGAAAAAGCAATGGGCCTAATTTTGAACCTTGTGGGATGCCTGAGCTGGGGATAAATGGAGCAGATTCATAGCCCGCTAATGCAACCAGGAGTGAACGATTCACAATATAACTCTCGAGCCAACGCAATAAGCACCCATGAATGCCTACATGGTATAATTTCTTGCAAAGTATTGAATGATCAACGCGATCAAACGCCTTTGCAAAATCGGTGTAAACTGAGTCAATTTGACCTCTGGCCTCCAATGTCTGTGAAATAGAGGTACTGTAAACCAGTAAATTTGACATAGTCGAACGGTTGGCAACAAAGCCATGCTGTCTTGGACTAATTATGTGTTGTAAATGAGAATACACAACTTTGCATATGACGCCCTCAAAAATTTTTGCGAATTGTGATATAATGGATATTGGTCTATAATTAGTTACGTCATTCATATTGCCGCTTTTATGAATAGGGACAATGTATGAAATTTTCCAAAAGTCGGGAAACTTCCCTTCCATGAGAGACTTATTAAAAATTAAATGTAATGGTTTAATTAGGCCCTCCACACAGAAACGAATAAAAATCGGAGGTAGCCCGTCCGGTCCGGCTCCCTTATTTAAATCGATTTTCTTTATCATTTCTTTAATATCGTTTTCAGTAATATTAACAGAGGAAAGACTGTAATTGGAAGTGGTGAAGTTAGGTACGTAATTAGTACGGGATGGATAGTTATTATAAACAGAAGCAAAGTATTCCGCAAATAGTTTCGTTACGCCACTTCCACCTTCTCCCACTGTATCATTATAATAAACTTGATTGGGAATGCTTCTGTATGTCTTTTTCGATTTCGTATAACGCCAAAAAGCTTTTATGTTCGTTTTTAAATCCTTCTCTATTTTCGCAATGTAATTCCTGAAACCGGTTACTATGGCCTTTTTAACTCGTGTGCGTAACAAACTAAATGCATCCTTGTCTCTAGAGTTTTTATGTGTTTTATATCGAATTCTATATTTGGTTTTTTCTCTAATCATTTTTATCAATGATCTTGAGAACCAAGGCGGATAGTTTTGACTTTTATGTCTACCTTTAGGAGTATATTTATCTATAGTTTCCCATAGTATGTCATAAAACACGTGAACAAACTCGTTACATTTGAATGTGTTATAGTCTTCCCAATTGACCATTAATAGGTCACGAACGCAGGCTTTATAGTCGGTTTTGTTAAAAAAGTACTTAGGCTGAGAAGTATTCTGATGCAAATTAGACACCGATGTTTTACTATAAACTAATTCTAATGGGGGGTGGTATTTATCAGGCTTACATAAGGCGGGCGCCCCTGAGACAGTAATGTTAGAGTTCTCATCCACTATTACCAGATCTAATAATTTGTCATTGTCATTAAAAATATTATTTATTTGCTTATATCCAGATATATTCAAAAAGTTCCCCAATGCTGACGATTTGGGATCATTTACACCTGGGAAGGGATCGTTAGGCTGGTGCCAAATCATATTAGGTAGATTAAAGTCACCGAGAATCAATGTAATGCGTTCTGTGTAACATGAACCGATTTTCCCGGCATTAGCCAAAAATGTCTCAAACGCATGGCAAGGTATATAAGACGGCAGATACACTAAACAAAGATTCATACAGACACCACCTAAGGTTATACATAGCCATATGTCCTCTACGGCTGTTTGCCAATCTATTCTATTAACAAACTTAAATTTATTACTAACAGCTATCAGCACCCCCCCACCGTGACCTTTAGAGTACAGTTCTTTAAATTGTGCGTGACGATCACGGCGTACTACAGTGTATCGTTGATCAAAATATTCAGATGAAAAGAATGAATCGTCTAACCATGTTTCAGTCAGACATATAATGTCATAGCTTGAATTTAAAATTGATAAATAAATTTCAAGTGACTTTGTCTTCATGCCTCTTACATTCTGATAAAAGATCGATACACTATCCATAGAAGTATTAAATACAAATTAAACATGGCACTTATAAAATAAATATATTGGTGAAAATGGCGTTGCAGAGCATAGGTAACTAATATTAAATAATTTTATCCAAACATTGCTCATTCTTAATTAGTATGCTACCCGAATTTTCGTTCTTACACACGTAAATCTTACCGTAGCGGATCCATACAAACTTATAGGATTTTTCTTTGGCCTTAATACGGGCAGCAGCATGTAAAGCTTTATACACCGGTGACAGGTGTTCAGACACGTAGATCGGCTGTGTGCCTCCTCCATAGCCCAATAAAGATGTATTTAATCTGTTGTCCATGTGAGACTTATTGTATTTGGTGATTGCTGAGTACAGTTCATCACGACATCTAGGACTGCGCAGCTTTAGTATCACAGTGCGTGGACGAGTCCTGTTATCGCTCATACTGGCCACTCTAACGCACTTCATGATGTCACAGTCGTTCAGTGGGTAAGATACAACTTTAGATAACTGTGTTATGATGTTTGGTAACACTTCATTTTTGTTCTCAGGCAAACCGTGAATTTCCAAATTCGCATCGCGCATATTTTGATCTAAAGTGTTTATTTGACTTTTTAACTGAACAATAGTATTTTGCATAACAAATTTCTCCGAGCGCAAGTCAGCGTTCTCGCCTTGCAATTCCTGAACTGTCGCTTTCAGATCATTAATCTGGGCGATGTCAAAAGAGCCCGAGGATTTTAATTCTTCTAACTGTTTTCTAATATCATCTATTTCTGATCTAATTTCGCGTATCATATTCTTAACTTCCACTCGCATTGTATGACGAATTTCCTCCCGAATGATTTGGCGAATGTCATTGTCCTTATCGTCGTCGCCCTCAGAGCTCTCGGCCAAGGTATCGACAGCTTGACTCGACTGTTGTTTCGGTAAACAGCTTGAACAAATCCAGGTAGTACGCGCCACTTTATTGAGCCTTTTAAATGCTGTTGTGCTCAAGTTAACACACAAATGATGATAGAACTTATTACACTTGAAACATGTAATCTTTTCATTTTGCTTTACTGGTAATCTACAAATACCACAGTCATTCATCATTTATCTGTAATAAATGTAGAAAAATCTCGAAATGATGTGTCTGTCTACCCGCGAGATTCGAAGTCACGACCTCCGAAGCTATTACGACAAGGCAACCGCCGCGCCGTGCCAACGAGTCCAAAATTGTTCACCAGCTCCCGGACTATTGTGTGTCACAAAAAATATGTCTGACGGTAGATCAGCAAAGTAACAAGTTCTAAACGTCAAATATTGAATTTGTAATAAACCAAAATAAGAAAAAAAAAATTGAGTCACCTTCACTTTACACTGTTGTTTTTTAGATTTAGCACATTAAAAGCACTCAAAACAGATTGAAATTGATTATCTATACTAATATTATAAAGCTGAAGAGTTTGTTTGTTTGTTTGTTTGTTTGTTTGTTTGAACGCGCTAATCTCAGGAACTACTGGTCCGATTTGAAAAATTCTTTCAGTGTTAGATAGCTCATTTATCGAGGAAGGCTATAGGCTATATATCATCACGCTAAGACCAATAGGAGCGGAGCACCAATGAAGAATGTTTCAAAAACGGAGAAAATTTATTACTATTGAGAGACGCAGACGAAGTTGCGCGGGTCAGCTAGTAAATAATAAGATAAAGATAAATTTGTTTGAAATTGCCATTGTCAAAACGACGACGTGTTTTACCTTAATAATTATAAGTTTATGCCTATTCAATAATTAGGTAAGAAATTTCCCTTATTTTAAATTCTTTGTGAGGTACTTCAGATAACACGAAATATCATTAACGACAAAATTCGATGTAAACTTTCCCTAGTTTAGTGGCAAACTTTAATAACTTAAAAAGCCACGCACACTAGGGTGACATAGAGGAGTCGTATATAAGAGGCTTTTCCCAACGTGACGCGCATCTAGACTTGTATCATCAAAGAGACAGACATAAAAAAGACATACATATTGTTAATTATAAGTATAAAATTCAAATTTGATTGCATCACAATACAACAGGTCACACTAAGAACATTACTTTTGTTAATACAGGCACCTGCTCATTCGAAACTGTCCTTCAAACATGTCTAAAAGTTAAATTACATTTGATCAATCTCAACTCTTTGTTTTTGTTTTTTTTTTATGCTACGTAAGAAGCAATTAATGAAGTAATCGGCTATAACTAGTATATTTTTATATAATTATTAGGTAGTAAAATACTTACTTTAAAAAGTTTTCCAGGCATAAACGTACTCCGCCGATCGATAACATCAGGAAACCCCAGTTAACCAAGCCAGTGAAATTGTTAAATTCTGAGCTCCATGAGAACAACGAGTCTCTAGGTGTATGGATCCTGTAATTAAACGTATTTCTTTACATCACATCACTATTTGTTACTTCATTAGAGCTATTACTCAGTACTTACTAACACTTACTAGTAAGTAATGCCCAGAGTAGTAGTGATGAAGAGAGTGGTGTGAAGCCTGGTGTGACTTACTGAATATCTATCTATATTATGTACATCGCTATTATCTTTCTTTTTCCATAAAATCGTTTTTAACCGATTCCGTGCCGACACCGCAGAGGCGCCATGGCGACATTTTTGTGTACGTTTGGCAAAATTTATACCTAACTGAATTAGCTTCCAGTACTTATATTATTTACATCATCATTATCTGTCATTTCAATAAAACAGTTGAACTTAAAAATTCTTTGAACTTGTTTTATTTTATTTTCAAGTTTCTAGTTTTTTATAATTTAAATTCTATAATGATGCGCCATACACAGTGTTTTACTTGTAAAGTCCTTTCATTTGGAATCCATTACCTATTTTAAAGGTATTGAAACATATATGAAATCCGTCATTTTGCTGTGGCGGCCCTTGTGAAACCGAGCCCTTTTGATACCCATATTAAGGCGGTTGAATGAAAAATATTCTTCAGCTATTTTGTGGCCTGAAGTTGCCTGTGTGGTTACAGCCTTCTTGGATTTACATTGATACTGAACATGCATAATCGTATTATCATCAGAACCAAAAAGAAGAATCATAAAGTTTGTACCTTTCAGATCATGGGCAATTGAGAACGCGCATGGAGTAACGGTCACTGCGCTCAAAGAGATTGTTGATGTTTGGAGGGAGTACTGTTAACACATGTTCCCAGCAGTACATTCACCGGTGACCGAGAACCCGATATCTTGCGGAATAAAGTACGAGCGGCAATACAACACTTGAAAGCAGTAGACGAAGATGAGATCCCGGTCGAAGTATTCAAGGCAATGGCAAAAATAGGAGTGGATTTTTTGCATAACATCTGTTGCAAAACATGGGAGTCAGGCATCTGGCCAGTAGTAGTATCTAGTATTTATCCCCTTGAACAAAAAGGTTCCACCAAAAAGTGCAACAACTACAGACTCGTGTCGCTCATATCGCATGCAAGTAAACTGTTACTTCATTAATACAAGGCTTCAAGCATACCTATCGAACCAAATTGTACTCAAGCCGGATTCGTGAAAGGGAGAGCCAGAAAATTTAACACGCCGCTCTTCATCTGCTTTGTGATTTCCGTAAGGCGTTCGACAACGTCATATAAGAGCGTCTCTGGCAAGTCTTATCAGAGATGGGAGTACCACAACATCTGATATTCCTACTAAAACGACTTTAAGACGACCGAACAGCAGCAGTATGCGATCAAATGAGACTCGCACTGAAGATCGTTGAACAGTGGTGTGTGACACACAACTTGACAGTGAACCTATCGAAAACAGAGATGATCATGTTTACAAACAAACGTAGTCTAGGAAATCTTAAACTTCCTAAACTATTTCAAACACAACTGACTCTTACCAAAGAGGTCAAATACCTAGGAGTAATACTAGGCAGTAAACTCCTGTGGAATAGGCGCCTCGAACAGAAACTAAACAAAGCCTGCATTGTCTTCTGCCAATGCAAACGGCTACTCGGCAAAAGCTGGGGACTATCGCCAAAGATTACACTATGGCTCTACAAAACAGTCATACGGCCAATAGTCACGTACAGTGCCGTTGTCTGGTGGCAGAGAACAGAGTTGAGCACCGTCTGTGCGGTCACTGGCTGTATTCGCATAACGCCAACTGCAGCACTAGAGGTGGCTCTTGGTCTGCCCCCATTGGACTTGTTCATACAACAGGAGGCAGCATTGGCGATCATTAGACTCATACACCTGGGTCTGTGGCACAAAGGCGAGGGATCGCACTCCAAATTATGGGATCAATTGGTGGAATATGAACCACTGTTACTGTGACCCACATGCGACCGGATCCCAAAACACTATATCTTCTGGGATTAATCAAGACACATAAGAAAGCAAATGAAAACCTTTCAAGATCAATAACAACTTAATTGACTATCTTACATATGAAATTACTTGCCCTGACTGACTGATTCTTAAAATTTTGGCTTCTAATGCTCTTAATGCTGTAAGCTGTACCCACTATAAAAGGTTTTTTTTTTAATTTCACCCCTAAGAGGTTAAAATAAGAGATGAATGGTTTGAAGATTGTGACTTTCATAGTTATAACTAAGAAACTATCATACAAGTGAAGCTGCCGAACCCCACCCCTTAATCTGATTCTTGGGGTAGCAATGCACTTATGAATCTTAAATTACAGATATCCATGGATGGCAGTAGTATATGTGAGGATTCTATGACGTAGGAAAATATACTTTTTACGTTTTCAGGCATTTGTAACACAATTTTTTCTCAAACAATTCATTATAGAAATATCTGAATAATTGAATGAATCTTATTTTACACAGCATTTGTCTTTTAATTATTTACATAAACTAATAATATCTTTAGACTATATTTTGGGTAAAAGATTTTGTAATAATATATGATACCTACTACATCATTTGATCAAGTCTCTAATTCTGTATTAATAACTAGCTGACCCGCGCAACTTCGTCTGCGTCTCTCAATAGTAATAAATTTTCTCTGTTTTTGAAACATTCTTCATTGGTGCTCCGCTCCTATTGATCTTAGCGTGATGATATATAGCCTATAGCCTTCTAATCTAATACTGAAAGAATTTTTCAAATCGGACCAGTAGTTCCTGAGATTAGCGCGTTCAAACAAACAAACTCTTCAGCTTTATAATATTAGTATAAATGTTATTTCTTTACTAAAATTGGACTTAAAGAAAACATCCACAACCTTTTACATTAGTAAAAAAAGATTCTGTAAAAGACAATGTCTTCTTCACTTCACTTCACACACAATGGACACTATGACATAAACATAATACTTTAACCTTAAGGGAAAACCAGAAATCAAATAGCCGAAAACCTTTTCAAGACTAAACAACTGTGTAATTATTCCTAAGTATTGCTAAGTACCTAATTAAACAATTAGTTTAATAATAATATTTCATTAGTCTATTCATAAATAAGGACAGCTATAAAAATTCAACAGATGTGTTAAGTACTTAAACTATTTTTAAGGTTACAATATAATCTATGGACTCACGGTTTATCATATTGTAATTTTCGCACTTTCTTCTCAGTTTCACTAATTTCTTCAGCTGTTGACACACTTTGAGCTCTTCTGTATCGAAGAGCTTTTTCTTCAGTCTCAGTAGGCATTTCTCAAGCTGTATTATCTGTATAAAGTACCTATATTAAAATAGGTGACGGCTTATCGCTAGCTTGTAAAAGTGGGTATGTGTGAGAGATAATATTATCTTTTAAATTAAAGATTCAATTTGGTAATAAGTCTTAATGAAAAACAATCGGAATAAAGAGTAGGGAGTCAAATGCGTGTCTAAATCAAATAAGAAACCATTTCCTCAATTTTTACTAACCAGAAAAGCGAAGCATGGAATAATCATTACAAATGTAAACATTGCTACCTGTTTTATGCGAATATTTAGGAACCATAAGACTAAGAAACGCGTCCTCACCTCGCTGTAAGTATTTTAATAGATGTAAAACACTCACCAATGAGCTATCTTCATATTCAATATTTCAGTATAAATCGTACCAACTATCAGCTTCCAAACAAATATCTTGGGATTACTTGGGAAACGAAAATGTATAAATTGTCAACCCTATAATCAGCCTTCAACTGAACTAGACATGTGTCAACTCGACTCGAGTTAGTAAACTCGAGTTAGTCTAGGTCGAGGATACTCGAACTAGAGTTTACAAATGTCACAATATTGCAGATTTGACTTTTGAGGTTTGTTTATGTTATGTTATCAATAAATTAGCGGTTGGCAGTTGTTCTTGTCTGTTTCTTGTTGTTAAGTACCTACTACATTTTTATAAATACTGGGACCTAAGAGGAAATCTCTTTTTTGGGACGTATTTCAATTGCCAATGACTGGACATTTTAAGTGTAAACAGTGTTCAGATTTATTCAAATATGTGGGAAATACAAGCACGTTATTAAATCACATTAAAAAGAAGCACTCAAGTAATGTCGTCAAAGAGGGGTATACAAAATGGAAATAATATTCCGTCACAGCCATCCACATTATAGGTGGAACCACCTCAAAAAGATTGAGGCCAACTCAAACCCGCTAGACCGTGATCAAGAAAACTACCCAAATATCTGGTAAAAATGCCATGATCAATATAATAGTTAAAGCTTATCAACCTTTTTAAATAGTGGAGAACGATGGTTTCCAGCAATATACAAAAGCATTGAATGCTGATTATGAACTCCCAACTAGGAATAAATTAGTACTAATGATCTATGAAAAGTAAATTAAATGAATTAAAATAAATAAGTTATATTTGTAAACTATAAAAACCTTTTATTTCCATCCTACCTACGAAGTTTAGCAATGATAATTGTCCTAATAGAGAGTTGGATGGAAGAATAAATGAGTAAAAAAGTAATTAGTATCAACCATACACCTGGGTCTTCCTGCTAACTCGAGCTGTGTAACTCGAATTCAATTCCGAGTTACCTGAATTTCAACTTGTGTTAACTCGAGTCGTGTTTTTCCGAGTTGGAACATCTCTAAACTGATCCCTTTGCCGGATTATATTGTGTGTTATGTGTATTCAAACATTTTTGACATATCTATATTTGAGTCTACTTTGGACCCACGGTTTACCAATAGATACGTAATGAAAAACTTTGGAAACGAGTTTACTATTCTGTGCAAAATAATATCATACAAGCCAAGAACGCTAAGATAAATTACGCAGGGTGTAAAATCAAGCTAAAACACTTAGTCCCATTCAAAAATAGATAAAACACTATAAATCCAAGACAGCCATTAGCCAGACACATAGATAATACACTATTTAAGGAAGGAACATAAAACGACAGTAACAGTTTTTTTTTATTTTAATTTTTTTTATTCATGACCACAGATACAAGTCTTTCAGTCGAAAACATAGATGGGTTTAAACTTACTTAAGATAGTTAGGTAGTTGAAGATACTTATTCTTAAATCACATTTTTCATTATATACCATATTAATAAACATAGGATTCATTCTGTTTTTATATGAATATGTTTTTCATGTTACCAACTTGCCGCCCTTTAAGTTTGGCTGGGTACATCTCAGTGATAAGCAGTAACAGAATGAAATGAGTGTTGCCACTACTGATTCTATTTGTGGACAGCAGTAGATTTAGTTTGGTAGTTTTTCTTAATCAGGCATCAGCTCAATCATTCATATCAGACAAGTCTCATAAACTATAATTTTCCTGTTCGCCAATACCCCTATTATTAAAACTACTACTAAAGATAATCAGGAGATAGTACTATTTGCGGATGACACTCCACTTTTATTTAAACTTAAACGACAGCAATCATTAACTGGGACTGGATTTTGTCGCGTCGTTCGTTTGGTTAGCACGTGCGTCTAGAATTCTTTCAAACTTTTGGTGATTTTGTGACTATTGGGTCTTTTTTTTATTATTTTGTGCTGTCCTATTGGTTACGGTGTGTTGTTTGTAACTAAACATTATTACCGGTAAGTGAACATGAACGGAAATAAACCGCCCGACCCTCCCGATATTGCATGTCCAGTAACCCCTCCTTTCACCCCTATTCCTCCCTTACCCGATCAACCTTCAACCCCTTCCAACCCCTTAGAACAGTTTGCCAATGTGGTCTGCAACGCTACGGTGGAAGAAACCAGGCCCCTCGTTTCTACCTCACGGAAACGAAATGGGAACGATGAGGTAAGTGCCCCCCCCTCTTAAACGTTCTCCAAACTCAAACGAAAACCTTTGTTGGTCGTGACAAATACACAAACAATGACAGTGGTCCCTACATGGTACATGTTTAATAATAATAATAATAATAAAAAGAAAAGAAAGATGAAAGAAAAGAAAGAAAAAGAAAGATGAAAGATGAAAAAAAAAAAAAAAATGAAAGAATGAATGAAAGATGAATGAAAAAAAAAATGAAATGAATGAAAAAAAAATGAATGAAAGATGGTACGGTTGACATCTGTCGGGCATGCCACCGTCCTGGCGAATCAATCAGGCATATTATTTCTGGTTGTTCTCGTCTTGCTAACGGAGAATATTTGCACAGGCACAACCAAGTAGCCAGGATCGTACACCAACAGCTTGCCCTTAAATACCATCTTGTGAATCTAGAGGTGCCATACTATAGGTATGTGCCCGACCCAGTTCTCGAGAATGGTCGGGCCACGTTGTATTGGGATCGATCTATTATCACAGACAGGACTATTGTTGCCAATAAGCCTGATATTGTGTTGATAGATCGATTAGAGCGCCGCGCAATGATTGTTGATATCGCCGTTCCTCATGACGAGAATCTCGTGAAAGTTGAAAAAGAAAAACAAATTAAATATTTGGATTTATCTCACGAGATTGTCGATATGTGGAATGTTGATTCAGTGATCATTGTTCCGATAGTCGTATCTGCTCATGGATTGATAGCCAAGAGCCTCGACCAACACCTTAAGAGGCTTACGTTGGATGGCTGGATCAAGGGTCTGATGCAGAAGGCAGTCCTCCTTGACACGGCTCGTATAGTGAGGAGGTTCCTATCTTTGGAGTCCTAACCACCGGTGTCTTGGTCCCTGTACCCGATGTCGGTGGTCTACTATTTTTTTTTTTATATTTTTAAATGTATTTTTTTTATAAAGTGTATATTTAAAAATGTAAATAATATGTATATAAAGTAAATAAAGAGAATAATAATAAAAATTCTTTATTTAAAACTAAAAACACAGATTACAATATTTCTCACACAGATTACAGTTTCTCGCGTGGAGAGCCAATTAGGCTCTGGTACAACTCTCCATCCTGTTTCGTTTGGACTTTTTCTTTTTAAAAACAATATAAGTAATATTGTCAGAGATGGTATTAAAAAATTTGGAAGGAATAGAGTATCCGTACAGTTTTCATCCCCTCAGGATGCTAATGCATTCCTAATTAACCCCCTCTTAAATATTTGTAAATTCACTGCCAGCATTCCTGCTTTTAACATTACTAGAATGGGTGTTGTTTCTGGTATCCCTACCGACATGAATGATGATGAAGTAATCAAATTCGTGACAGTGCCGCAGGGCTGTTGGCAGATTATTAAAGTCAGGCGTCTTAACCGAAAATCATTTAATGATATCTTGGAGTGGAAGCCAACAGAATCCTGTGTCCTCACTTTTGATGGCCAGGTTTTACCTAAACGAGTTTTCTGCTGCTATAATTCTCTTCTTGTACAGCAATATATTTACCCCACCGTCCAATGTAGGAAATGCTGCAGGTTTGGTCATGTGGAGTCTATCTGCAGATCTAGGCCTAGATGCAACAAGTGCGGACATGAGCATCCCAGTAACGAATGTGAGGGAACAGAAAGGGGGGCCTTTTGTGTCCTATGCTCTGGTGGTCACTTTGCCCACAGCAAGGCTTGCCCGGAGTATGGCAGGCAGAGGGCCATTAAGATCATGATGGCGGAAAAAGACATTTCCTATATGGAAGCAAGTAAAGTGGTCCCTTCTACTACTCGCAGCTATGCTGATACCCTAAAGACCCCACAATTTACCCAATCCTCTCAGCCCACCCAACCCATCCAGTCTACCCAGTCCCTTCAGTCTACCCAACCCCTTCAACAAACCCAGTCCTACCGAAAAACTGTTCTTCGGCAGCCTAAACCTCGCCCTACACTATCCAAATTCTATGATATAGCTGCACAACAATCTATCATTCACTCTCCCCAACCTTCTCAACCTAATGGTTGTGCTCTTAACTCATCACTTGAGACTTCTACTATTGACCTTATAATACAGCTTTTGACTTCTCTATTAACCTCCAATTTACCTCTATCTCAATCCCCTTCTAGTATACCGTCCAACGTTGCTAACACACTTATCAACTTATTAACCATCTTTAAAAATGGCATCCCAACAAGTATTCCTACTGTGGAATGTGAGGAGTGTGTTTCATAAGAAGCACGACCTCATATTCTTGTTGAATAAATACAAGCATTTGGCTGTCTCTCTTGCTGAGACTTGGCTTCTACCGGGTCTCAACTTCCATGTTCCACATTTCAAGATGCTTAGATGCGACAGGTGTGATGGTTACGGAGGTGCAGCCCTCCTTATAAATAACAAAGTCCCTCTATTACCATACCCTTACCCCCATTCCCA